GGGCAGTAAGATGGGGACCACAGTCAGTCCTAGAATGATCTCCTAGTCCTCACGAGCGCGTAGGATTTCGCGGATCTTAATTCGGATATCGTTTGAACCCCGAACGGATCTCGCCTACTGTGCGATTTCCGGGTTCACTATGTTTGAACCGTTGGATCGTAGTTAATTCCAAGTATGTTAATCTAGACTTTCCCAGGATCGTATCGTATTTGACGGATCGTAAAACGGAGACCCGGATACTCCAAAAATGTCAGCCCTAGAGTGAGGTTTACAGTAAAACAAACCAGTTACAGGTCCGGAACAAAGGAAAGAACTACGTGTGGCTTGATCACTCAGTAAGGGTACGTAGGCAGCCTACAGTTATTTAGGCACAGCCACGAGTTAGGGGCTCAGGGTTTATGTTATTGTTTTCAGGGTATTTTCGTCTTTTACGATCCACAGTTACCATGTGTCAATTTAAAACGGGATTCGGCCCGGATTTCAAAGTGAAATTTGGGTCGGGTCGTTTCACAAGTTGGTATCTAAAGTTGGTCTCCATAGCATTTTCCTAAAGTAAAAGGCAGAGAATAGTGAAGGATACCATAAAATGTCCTTGGTTACATTAATAATTGAAATTATTATTTAAATGAGGATAATATGGTAACTTTACAATATTTCTGGAACACAACTACTTATTTTCTATTTTAATTTTAAAATAAATTAAATTAAAACAAAACATTTGGCACACGCATGAGGGGCTAGTTATAATATATATATATATATATAAAGCAAAATGCAGAGAATTGTGAAACATTCAAAATACAAAAAAATGTCATTGGTTAATTCAAACATTAAGAATTGAAATTATTAATTAAATGAGGATAATATGGTAAATTCACACTTTTTTCATATTAAAAAAATTAAAACAAAAACAAAATCATATAATATGTCATATTTTTATGGAACATAACTACCCATATTATCTTTTCTTAATTCAATAAAATAAAATATAAAATAAAACCAATTGGCACATGCTCACGCATGTGCCAAGGGGCTAGTTTATATATAAAGCAAAAGTCAGAGAATGGTGAAACATTCAAAATATCATAAAATAACCTTAGTTAATGTAGACATTACAAATTGAAATTATTATTTAAATGAGGATAATATGGTAAATTCAAAAGGTTTTATATTTAACAAAAATTAAAATTAAAAACAAAATCAAATAATGCATAACTACCTATTATTTTTTAAATTAAAAAAAAAAAATCAATTGGCACATGTGTAGGGGCTAGCATACATTATTGGCTGGAAGATAACCAATTCGACCTCAAGTTCCAAGTTTGACAAGTTATCGAGTACCTATGAAAATAAAAACTGAAGATTAAAGATATAGTTTTAAAAACAATGGCCCAAATGCCACTTCCAAAGAAGACAAACCCAAAAACAGATGACGAAAGTCCAGTCCTAAAAACATATCCTCAACCTCATCTCGAAATGCGCCTTCTTTAATTTTTACGACTCTCGCTCGCATTGGGTTGGCAATGGAAATCCGCAAAGTCCCCGGTTTCCTTCCAATAATTTGGGCCACTGAATTTGAAGCTTTGGTCAGTTGATATAATTGGCCCATAAAATTTGTTCTTTATAAAACAAAAACAAAAACAAAAGAAAATTATCAATAAGCTCCTCTTAGGAGGCCAATATTCCGAACATCATACAAGACTTTAATAGCAATTGAAGAAGGAAAATTATAAAACTAAATACAAAAGTAATCTACATCTTGTTCAAAATTTGCTAACGCTTATGCATCGATATTAACTTCTCGATAAATATGCCAAACATGTTATGGATATAGATCTTGAGCAATTGCCAAATATATGTGACAATTGAAGATATTCGTCAAGGAGTAGTCATGCATTTTAAAATGTTGATAAAACTTGTGATTCTCCTTCAATACACAAAGACGAAATACCTAATCGTTTTGCTCAAATGAGTCCATATTTTAAAGCCATTGCTTCAGCTTGCAAGATGAAAGTAATACCTAAAGCAAAAGAACCATCCACTTTGACCTTCCCATTACAATCTCAAATTGAAACCCAACTAGTACAACATCAATAATTTTTATTATTATAATCAGTGGCGGAGCCACTCCTAGACCTGGAGTGGCCCTGGCCCCCCATATTTTTACCACTCTTCAATTATATTGTTAGTACGAAATTCGTATTGTTTCCTAGTTGGAGTTTTTTTTCACTCAAAGTATTTTTATCTTAATCTTATTTTTAATAGGATTAGATTTTATCTCTTGAGATTACTTTCCTAGTTGGACTCTATTTTGATTTAAGTTTTATCTTTTCCCGTTATGACTTGCACGTTGCTCATCTCCTACTTGATTGGTCAAATTAGTTTGTTTTAGGAGATATTGTTTCTCGCACAAAGATTGGTTGTTTGGCATTATCATTTAGAGTCCACACTAGATCAAAATTGATATTCATGATTGATACTATTTGTAGTCTCATGTTTGGCGTCCTTATAGGTAGTTGATATTGAATCAAAGTTATCATTCTTAATTGCATGGTAGTGTGTCTTGGTTTTGACGTGATTGACTTGAGTCCATATTGGATCAAGCTTGACAATCACATTGGAATAGAATTGTTGGACTATTGGGTTTCTCTCTTACTAGAGAGAACCTGCTTTGAATAAATTAGGGGTCTTTATTTTCACACACACAGCTTTTGAGATATTTATTTTGAGCATATAGAATTCTAAGAAAAGCTGCTGTGTGTATATTTGAGATAAATCATCAAGTGTTCAATGTTTACTTGGTGATTTATCAAACACTTTAATCATTCATATTGCATTCATATGCATGTCGGTGACTCATACGGTTGATGGCACCAAGACCGTGGTGGCGGTTTTCCTCCGG